GGAGTTCGTCGGTACCAGCGCCCGCCGTGAGCTCCAGACCTCAGGCGGGTGGCGTGCTGGTCTGGGCCCTTCTCAAAAAGGGGAAGAAAAGGGCGAGGACCGGACCACCAAACCAACCGCAGACTCTTCCACTCAACTCGGCTCAACCCAACTCATTGGAGACTCTTCAACTCAACTCAAGTCAACCCAACCGGCTGGAGGCTCTTCAGCCCAACCCAACCGGCTGGAGGCTCTTCAGCCCAACCCAACTAGGCGGAGACTAGATCCCTCACCTGCAGCTCTTTCAGCTTCTTCTGGAGCTGCAGGGCCAGCGCCTGCTCGTCCTCGATCTTGCTGTTCTGCTGGTGGATCTCAAACTCTTTCCTGCAGGGGAAGGCGGAGAGCGCTGAGGTCTCTGCCTGCGCCCCCTGACCGGGTCGGACCGGGGAGGAAGGTCCAGCCTCACTTCTTGAGCTTCTCCTCCAGCTGCTGCTTGTCGTTCTCCAGATCCATGATGTTCTCCTGGTTCAGCTTCAAGTCGCCTTCCAGCTTCCTCTTGGCCCGTTCCAGGTCCATCCGGACCTTCTTCTCCTGCTCCAGCGAGCTCTCCAGCTGCGAGCGAGGCAGAGACCGCCCCACCCCGCGTCAGCCCCCCGAGCACCCACCCCGGCAGGACCTCCGTCCCCCGGAGGGACCGGCGACGGGAGGGACGGGACTCACGTCGTCCGCCTGCTGTTCCAGCTTGGCTTTGGCCTTCGTCAAGGTGTTGACCTTGTCTTCCTCCGCCTGCAGGTCATCCAGCGCTTGCTGGTGAGCTTCTTGCAGGGCCTTCTTCTCCTTCGTCAGCTTGGCGATGGTCTCGTCCAGCCCGGCCATCTCCTCTGTGAGGTTCTTGACCTGCGGGAGGAGAAACATCGGGCCTCCAGCTTGGTGCCAGCGGTAGGGCAAGAGGCAGGAGGTTCTTCTTGCTCTTGGTTGAGTCAGGAGATGCAGGAGAACCCAACCAGCCTCGGGTCTTGGCCACCCAACCCAACCAGCCTCGGGTCTAAACCTGTTCACGTTGGCTTGAGTCAATTGGCTTGGGGTCAAGGCCTCTCCTCGCCCTCACCTTGTTCTCGGTGGCGTGTTTCTCCTTCTCCACCTTGGCCAGAGTCAGCTCCAGGTCATCGATGTCCTTCTTCAGCTCCGAGCACTCGTCCTCCAGCTTCCTCTTCTTGGCCGTCAGCTCGGCGTTCATCTCCTCCTCGTCCTCCAGCCGCTCCGTCAGCTCCTTCGCCTTGGCCTCCAGCTGGATCTTGTTCTTGATCAGCTGGTCGCAGCGCTCCTCGGCGTCGTTGAGGTTGTCCTGCTCCTGCGTTGGGGCGGCGGGTGAAGTGGGGTGCCCCGGGG